ACTTATGGAATATTGTTTTTCTAACATGCAGCTCTGTGTTTTTCTAAGATGCAGCAGCTAGCCATCTGCCTCAAGTATACAAAAGCACCCATGTTTTCTATAACTCAAGTGTGCTCTCATGTAATGGGGAAAAAAATGTTCTAGTTGCTTTCTGAAAAGTGACAGTAAATAATTCCATTTTCATGCTAGGGATATTGAATTAGGCTGTCTCTTTTGAGTGATGCAGTCTTGCAGTCTCCAAATTGATCCTGTCTCTACAGATCTGTTGAGCACAGTGAGTTGCTGCTGACCTAGCTGCAGGCAGTGTCCATCCCATTCCCAGTGATCCATGAGGAAAAGAATCCAACTCTTAAAATCCTTCCTTGGCTAGGCTGAATTTGGCAGCTTGCAATCATGTGAGTAAATTAGCAACTTCAGAAAGGACTGTTTCAGTGCTCTTTGGAGTAGAATGATCTTATAATTAAAAAAAAAAAATATATATATATATATATATATGCAGTCAGTAGCTGAAAGCCTGACTAAATCAGGTTGGAATTGAATAGTGTCTCAAATTTCTCCTTTTTATTTCTCCCTTTTATCCAAATTAGCAGCTGTTTTCATGAGCACTTGTTCCTTCTCTTATCTAAGAGGTTATTTCTGAGATCAATAGGATAGCATTCAAAATGGGAATGCATTTCACAGAAACACGAGTTGCTGTCATACTCCCATCCTTTTCCCTAAAACCTAGTACATCTTTATGCCATGCTGTTCCTGTAAAATGGCTGAAACAGTTCTTTTTTTTTTTCCTTCCTAGATCTTTTATGGCCACAACATATATTCCATTTTAACATCAACTTTGTGACTGCCAGTCTTGCTACCTCACAGCTATGTAGATTTTCCATGGTGACATGGGGTGTCTTGCCCTTGGGGGGAACTCCAACTCAGTGAGGTAAAACTGAAGCTATGTTAATTGCATAGTCTACCTTATTACCTTATGCTTCAGCCTGCTCTGAGTCATCTGTTGTTTTCTCCTTCTCTTGTGAAGTAATGATCTGTGCTTCCTTTTGTTTTTCACTTATTTCTCAAGTATTAATAGAGCTTTTTCTTGCTTTTTTTTAATTGTTGCTACTCGAACTCATTTTACTTCTTAGTCTCTCTGACTCTGTTATTGCATTCCCATGCCATTTCTTTATATGATTCCTTATCTTAACGAAGAAAAACTTACTTAAGAATAGATACAAATTATTTGATTTCTTTTGTAACTTTTGTAGCAACTACATAATTCTTGATATTCTTAGACTATTAAAATAGTCATGCAATGCCCAAATTAACTTTGTATCTTGTAAATTCTTGTCACAGTGTAAAGGATTTTCTCTTTCATTTTGAGTTTGTCACCGTTTACTTTCACTGCAGCTGTGGTTGTGTGCCAGTGTAGAATGATGTTCCTACTGTGCAGCAATACCGCCTGTGCCAACACAGGTACATGAACATCTATGCCTCTACAAACAGCTTTGCATCTAATATTCACAATTCAATTCCTGTGGTTGTTTTTCCCCATGTCTTAGATGGAAGCAAACTCATCAGCTTGATTAGTTTCATTGTACCTGGTGTCAGTGGTGCTGCTGCTGTTATTATTATGCCTGTGATTTTGTTGAATATAAGGTACATACATATTTTTGCCTTCCAACAGTATCAGTAGGTAAGCCTTTCCTAAGTCATTGTATGACGTTTCTGTAATAGATGTGTGATCCAAGGACAGAAGTTCAGACAAGTTTGACTCCTATTTCCTAGTTTTAAGGTACCTTATTTGAATCTGTAGGTAATCAGCCTCACTTTAGTCTCACCTCAGTAAAATTATGTGAGATTGAACAGCGAGGCCTTATGGAAGTGGTAAAGATTGGAGACTATTGGTAAGGTAGAATTCCTGTGTTTTTGCAAGGAAGCATGTTTATTTACAAAAGTAGTTTATATTTCTGTCTCTTGAGTATGGGGGAGTTTTTCAAAGTGCTGTTTAGCTATGGGCTTCATTAGGAACAGAATCAGTCTGATAAGGTTGTTCTTTAAAAAAAAAACTTTGAGTATTTTGCTGCTGATATAATTATGTCACTCTTTAACCTGTGTACTTTTTCATTAACCTTATAAATGCTACAGCTGGTATGGATATATATGGAACATGACATTTTTAGAAAATTGTGTCTTCACAAGGAAGAGGAGTTGCTGTCTTTAGCTAAATAAGGAGAGCACTGAGTGTTAAAATAAAGATATCCTCAGATTTAGTTTTAAAATATATATATATATATTTCTGGCTTATTTACATGAAGTCATTTAAGACTTGCTTGCTGAGGTGCTGAATAGCTTGCCTCTGCAATTCCTGTATTAGCATGTTTGCAGTTTACGTGTAGGATGAGAGACCTGAGAACTGGGAGCTAAGAGGTAGCAAACAATGTTCTACTGAGTGCTGGTTCAGTGGGAACTGATGTGTGAGCACTCTACACTGTCTCGGGATGACGTCAAAGAGCGTAGCTGAAGTCTACTGCAGCAAAGTCTGTTTGAGTTTGTGGTGAAGCTGCTGAGAACTGATTATTGTTTTACTTCATCTCACACAGATTAGAGTGCTCAGAGGATGCAAAATAAGCATGGAGTGAGCAGCTTTGCTATGCCCATTTTCTCACTAGAAACTGAGGCCAGCTACTCCAGCTGAGGAAGTAAGAGTATGTCTTTACCTCAGCATTTATAGTAACTGATCCAGTGCTGAATGTTCTGTGATATGTGGAGGGACAAACAAGTGTTTCCTGCTCTCCTTTTTCAGCAGCTTTCAATGCCTTAGGTGTGAGACAAGCACCTGAACTTTGTTGAACTCTGTAAACAGGAAAGGCTTTTATTGCCTTCTGAGAAGGCAATCTGAGTAATTTGTTTTATTTGTTACAAAGCATCAACAAGTTTATATCTGATGGTGCAAGACCAAAAGGCACTTGAAACCTTAGATGTTTTCTTTTCTTTCAATTCAAGTAGCACAGCAACAACATTCTCTGATACATTAGGGAAAATACTTCTGAATCTGCACAGACTAGGCATACATGTATTTCCACTGTGGTCAAATGCATAGATTGCTATGCACATGCACAGTATGTGAAAGAGGGATGTTCTGCTTGTGGTAAACAATGCTAATTAGCAGTAATTTTTGTTCTATCATTCAATCAAAAAGATAAACTTGGAATTAACTGTTTTGACTGAAAAGAGGTAGAAGGTAAACCTAATCTGAAGGTCTCAAAGTATTTTTGAACGTATTGAAGTAAATGCATTTACAACTGCAAACCCCAATCAACATGGGAAAATAAAGCCATATAAATGGTAAAAATATCGGGGGGGGGGGGGGGTTGTTAGGGTTAGGAGCCCCCCAACGCTTCATAAAACAGAAAAACTTACAGAACTAACTACAGCTTTTTTTTTTTTCTTCCACAATGTAAAGTTGTCCTCTCTGACATTGTTTTTTGATGGTGGAGGCTGAAGAAACCTTGAAAAACACTTTTGGAACAGGAGAAAAGAGGGTAGGAAGGAGAAAGAAATAAACAATGAGGACAGAATGGAAATTGATGTAAAACCTACTAGCCATAATACTTATTCAATTTCTAGGAAATTCAAGTGACTGCAGGTTGCAGATGAAGAGACAGCAGAGTTATGGCTGTATAGTCTTGGATCACTAGTGAGAATTGGACTATTTTATGAAAGTAAAGAGAATTTCATCTGCCCTAATTCTCAAAAGATAACCCAGCAGAATTCCCATTCCTCTAAGAGTTTCAAGAAAACATGTTAGTTTGTGTCTGATGTATAGAGCCTGGATCTCTCCCATCATGGATTTGCACTATAAAATCTTCATTACCCACAACAGATTCAGTTTGAGGGAATTTGTTTCATACATTCCTAATTATCATCAGCGCCAAGTGCAGGCACGCTAGATTTATATAGAGCTGTGGCAATTGCTCACAGAAACAAGTTACACAACTTACAGAAAGGAGAATAGGCATATTGTTTGCTTGTGTAACAATCAAATTATCAAAAATGGCCTAAATAGAGGGAATTGATCATCTGAAAGTGTTTTTGTAGATGTGAACACCAGGAAAATGCTTTTGCCTGTGCAAAAAATAAAAAAGATTAGAGCCAAGCAATCGAAACAGAATTAGAGCAGAAATGCACACTGTGGGGAATATCTCTCTTGATAATTTATGCTTTTAGATCACAGTGTTGGGCTTGCTTTGACCATCTTTGTTGCTACTTATAATTCCAGGAACTTATTTTTTTGACCCAAAATTCCTGAGACTTGGTTTTCTGTGAGATAGGTTTGTTGGTTCATAGGTGGTAAGATTTGAATGTTTTCTCAGAGTAACAGGAAGCTGTATTAAAAGATCTGTATTGCTTCAGATTAAACAGCAGCAGAGGAGCACTGTTTATTTGAATAGTTACTGTAAGGTATTACATACAGAGAAACTGGGATCTTGTATTGAAAATGCACAATGTAGAAAGCATTTTCTGAAGAGCTGCTTGCACTAGTGACTTATCAGCAAGTGAGGTATAGCTAAGTCTTGCAGCAAGGCAGGTTTTCCTACATGTTCACCACAGTTAGCAGATAGCTTAGCTTTCAGGCTCCTGGTAAGTATTCAGTTTTAAAGTTAATGAAAAAGATTATAATAATCTTTGTTTGGTCTCTGTCAACTGTAATTCACGTTTCGGGCTCTTCATTGCAAACAAACAAAAGATCAAGGAATCAAAGAAAAAAAAAAAAAGGTGTTCTTAAAATGTTTGCCTGACTTTAAACAGCAAGGTTTTAAGCAAAATATTTAATATTTTATAGTTCCTGGTAGAAAATTGTGAGAGCTGGATATGTCAAACTATTGAGGTATCTCTTGCCAGGACTTAGGTATGGCATATTCATATTAAGAATTTCTATAAGAATCTTAAGAGATGACATCACATGACTGACCATGAGGGCTGTAGTTGTTTTAATGCTATCATATATGGGTCAGTTTTCAGAGTCTGGGCAAGATCACCAACCTGCGAAATTCATGAAGAATATTCCTGTTTAACTGAATGTGAAGGAGACTGAGTCCCCTGTAAGTACTCTTCAGAAATTATATATATATACTACATATATGTATATCAAACAGTTTTCATCTGAGAGAGTTCATCTGTTTGCTGTAAAAGAATTGGAATTATAAGTAGTGGCTCAGAAATCAAGCATAAGCAAATGTTTGTCTACAAATTACATCCAAAGAGTCTGGCCAGATTTTATTTTACTGAGCATAATACTCCTTTGTTTGTGACTAGGTATCTATATTTACAAGTGGAGCCATATTCATTCTCTTTAACACTTCTCCATATATTCAGATATTTTAGATGATATATCAGAAATTCCACAAGAAGGTTATTACTGACATATCATCACATTACTTAAAATAGTATTGCTTGCCTATTGTGTTAGGTGACCATTACGACACTTACGTTTTCACAAGTATTGTAACCAATAGACCTGCTTTTCTGTGCGAGTATAAAATTTCTGATTTCTAGAGTATAAATATCTGTGCTATTTACATTCTTGGAAGGATTTACAGAAGGTGTAAACAGTGTGCCCTAAACTATTGCCTTCTGATTTGCTTTGGAAAATCCACATGAAACTGAACTAGGGACCTAACTATCTCAGGGTTGTCTTTTCTGATCTAAAATTGAGACTTGCATGACATGGAAAGGAAGTATAGGTAGAGGAGATACAAAATTAAAAAAAAAAAAAATTAAAAAATACAGGAAATAAAATCAACCCTGCTGTAGACTGTTATTTCCTTCTTTGTCCTGTTCAATAACTATTGATACAGTTGAGAGAAGATGCTTGAGAGTCTGCTACCAGAACTTGTAGCAATGTAACTCCTCCTTCTTTGAAGAATTGCACATTTTGATCTATTCACTTATAGTAAAGAAGCTGTGATCTTTATAAGCCCTCTGGCACATTTGAGATGGAGTTATTCAGTCTTTTAGGAGACTCTGGGTAGTTTTGGTTCACATTTCTAAGTGTTTCTTAACTTCTTCAATCAGCTGTCATTTGTAAAGTACTTTGAAGATATGAAACATGCCATAAATGCCATGTATCAGAATTACTAACTAACTGATTTTCTTTTATGTGTGCATTGAGTATTTTGGGCAGGAAATAAAGAAAGAGCACGCACATGAATCAGAATAAGGCATGCTATGATGTGATGACTTGTTCAGAAGATTACTTAAAGAGAGCCATGAAGGGAATGCCTTATCTACGAATGAAAGCATGGTGACTTCTGAATATTACATCACCAAATGAGGAACCCACAAGCAAGACATAATTTCTACCGTAAGTACTGATACCATAAACTAGTATTTAATTTAGTTGAACTTTGCTATTTGCAATCAGTTTCCATGGCTTGAGGTGATGATGGATTAGAAGGAATAATTAAATTAACTGATTAAATGCCTCAATGGCATATGTATCAGTTATAAATAATGGCATCTTATTTTAGTTCTTTTGACATATTGATAATTTTTTTTTTTTTTTTTTTTTTTTTTTTTTTTGTATTAAAGTCTGATTAGATATAAAGTTGTGTATAAGTTGAAGATTTGCTACATCTGAATGGTATTATTTAGGAAAATTGCACCAGTTATCCTGTGGACTATTACTGAGAATGCTTCTTTGGGAAGTTGGACATCTCCTTTGATATAAAGACAAATCTGCCCATAATAATGTGCATATTTATTTCCATATAGCAATGTAATGGTTAAGTTGGAGCATGGAAAGTAGGAAAATGTTGAGTAATGGGTATTTACCCAGATAATCAAATCTTACTTTCACATTACTGCATTAATGTCCTGCTGAGATAATATTGGAGGTCCTCCTGTTTTTCCTGGGGAATTATCAGCAGGTATATAAACTTTGGGAAGTTTTCTTAAGACCTGAAGGAAAACCTATCCCAAAAGGAAGACAAGAAAAAAAAATTATGCTCTACTGCATAAAATAGAAAAATCTTTTGCAGATTGGGGTGTATCAAAAAGTGTGGCCAGCAGATCAGGGGAGGCGATCCTCCCTGTCTACTCTTCCCTGGTAAGGCCACATTTGGGATGCTATGTCCAGTTCTAGGCTCCCCAAATAATAATAACAATAAAAAAATGAGTCTCCTAGAAGTAGTCCAGTGGTGGGCCGCAAAGATGATTAAGGGCCAGGAGCATCTCCCATATGAGGAAAGGCTGAGTAATCTGAGTCTGTTCAGCCTGGGGAAAAGAAGGTGGACGGAGGATCTGATTGATAAATATCTAAAGGCATGTAGGAGGCAAATGGATGAGGCCAGGCTCTTCTTGATGGTGTGTAACAATAGGACAAGGAGTAATGGCCTAAAACTTGAACATAGGAAGTTCCATACAAACATGCAGAAGAACTTGTTTATGGTAAAGGTGACAGAGCACTGTGACAGGTTGCCCAGAGAGGTTGTGGTGTCTCCTTCCATGAAGATATTCAAGACTTGCCTACCTGTGCAACCTATTGTAGGGTGCCAGCTTTAGCAGGGAGGTTGGACTTATGATTGCTTGAGGTCCCTTCCAAACCCCGCAATTGTGTGATTCTGTGATTTCTATTCTGCTTGATTCAGACAACAATATTGCACCACAGGTTTCTGAATTAGAGATAAGTAATGGAATGTGATGTACGAGTGTTTCATTTGTGAGTAAGGAACGTTCTACCTGTCTATCTGAAATCTTTACCGAATATAAGAGTAAACATGATCTCAATATTTTTCGATTAGGGACACATTACTTATCTTCATAATTGAACCTTCAATACCATCTAATGGAAAATGATTATTTAAAGCAGTTCAGTTATTTACACAATAAGTGTTTCCTTTGGATCACTATATATGGTTCTGTGTTCTGAAAGTGAATAAGATGTGCATTTATTGAAATGCTTAATTGTTCTGAAATTGTCTTTCAAATTACTTAAGTATGGTGCTTTTTTTTTTTTTTTTTGAAGGACTACTTTTCCTTGAATTAAGTCCTTTATTGTATATTCCTTTCACTGCTTTAAGGTGTGCACTGTGCATGTAAGTGCTGAGGTTAGAATTACTGTTAAAAAGCTTGACCTATGGTGATTTCTCTTTGTTAGATGCTCCTTCATTGTCTGCTCTCTCCTAGTATCAGTGACAATGTGTTTTTCTCCAAAATTATTTTGACTTTGCTTTCTGACCAATGTTAGAGGCTTTAGATAACCAGTTAATCATTATCTTTACATCTGAAGAATGAGTAGTTTTGAATTTTTAGGAAGCTAATGAACTCAAGTATTGAATTCTGAATACCAAAAACAGCTTCCACTCTCCAAATAATTTTCTGTCAAGTTTTACCCCATGATCTTAAATGGAACAGAAAGAACTTGGGGATAGAAGACAACTTGGGTAATTTATACTGAAGTACCAAGGCAGCCATAGCACCCAAGTGCAGATGTTTCATAGCCTGCAGCACTGCTACAGACTGTTCATGACAAATGAAAAATACTTTTGCAGAGTCAGGAGGAGACCTCAAACAGGCAGAATGTAATTACCTAGCTAGAATTTGAGAAAGACTGCAGGATCACCTGGGAAATGAGGTGTTGCTTCCTGTTAGTGTTGTGCTGAATGGAAAACATTCTTAGATTTACTATACTGAATAACTTACAGTGCAGTCATGATTTTAAATGCCAGAACACTGAAGAGAAAAATGTTCGGTGTCAATAATTTTCATGCTAGTAAAGGAGCATAATGAAGCAACGCCGTGGTACTGCGGTCTGCATTTTATTTAATGGGTGAAAATAACTTCAGAGCAGATATGTGATATCTATTGAGTGAAATTGAACCAAATTTATATTTAAAAACAAAAGGTACTTTTCAAAATAAAATGAAGGTAGTGGCTCTTCCCTGCGCTCTGAAATAGGAGTTTCACACATGGAATTGGATTGGTAGGACACAGTCCTCTCCTGTATGGTTGGCATTAAATCTGAAGGATACATCAGAGTACATCTCTGAGGAGAGTTGGTGCACCACATAAAAAGAAGGTGTAGGTAAATATTAACCATGAACTGTAGCATAAAAACCCTTTCCTGTGGAAAATAACATAATGCTTATTAGCCAATATCAGACATGATTTCAACATTGTCTAACAGAGATTTATTCCATAACCCTTTAGTGTTATTGATGCTGTTACAGTATTTTCAGGACAGGAGTTGCAAAAAATGAGGAAGGTGAGGGTATGAGCAGAAATAAAGAAAAATCATAAACAGCCTAATTCCACAAAACCTCAACTTCTTTTTCTGACAGTACTGGAGAAACTGAGATGAAAGTCTGGTAGAGAGTAGAAAAAAGGAAATATTTCTGGTATTTGTATTAATTGTCGTGTTTGAAAAGTAAGGAAAAGAAGTACAAGGTAGAATTGGCAGCTATTGTTTGACCAACTGTTTACTTTGCTAGTATTTTTGCACTGCCTGTATCATGCAACTGCCAGATTGATGGTGTATTCCTGTGATCTTCATTCCATTGTTCCATTGATCTTCAAACTTTATAATTTTCTAGATTAGCTAAGGAGTCACACTAATAAATATATGGAGGCATTTTTCAGCCTACTACAGATGTAAGGACTTAGTTTGTAGAACTACTTAAATGTATTTTGGTTTAGGGTATACGCTTTGTGTTTCTCATGGCTATTGGTCAGAATTCTACCATAATCAGTGTTTTAAATTTGGAGATATACCATGTGCAGACCACATGCTGAAAACTGTTCGGGCAAAATAATGAAATGGGATTTGAAGGTATTTGAGTGGAAAAATAGATGGATTTTGTTTCCTAATAACTGTAAGATATGAAGTCTAAAAAGCTTCTAAGCAGTACTGACAAAGCATGTTTGAGAAGTAGAGGCATCACTTTGAGATTAAATAGTTTATTAATGTTCTCCTTTTATTTTAGTATGATTGATTATCACAGATAAAATACATAATAGTTTAATTTCCTCATATGAATAACCCCTTCCCATCTTTATTAATATGCAATCAAAGAGAGGATTTACTTCCTCCATCCACTTCTGTAAGAGAAGGATATTGCTCAATGCTGGCAGGCCAATTCTTTCAGCATTCAGCATGCTATAATACAGAGATCTTCAGTATAATGCAGTGAGACACAATACAACATGAAGACAAATACCTTTTTGGCATCCTTCCACCGTTTTATTTATTTTATGTGTGTTGTTCAATTGTGGGGAGAAACAAATATGTGATTTAAAGTAGTCAAGTCCTCTTTTTAGCAATTTCATCTTTTGACACAATACTTACTACATGGAACATTAGAGCGAATACATAGAATTGTGCATGCATCATTTTTTACTTACTCAAAGTGAGCACACCTTTCTTAATGGAGGTCAGAGAAGTCTGGGAGAGAGATGTTCTTACTTCTGTGTTTGCCAGTAAAGATAAAAAGCAGGTTAACAACAAGATGTAATATTCTGTAATCAAGGATTACACAGTAGTCTACTGCAAGTTTGATTTCTATTTTTTTCTTTTTTTTTTTTTTTTTCCCCTGCCTCTTCTTTCCTGTTCACAGAAGTTTAAGTCAGGATCCAGAAGTTTCTTTATAACAATTCACAGTTTTGCCCTTTTAAGTAAAAGAAATTTGTTATGCTGTAGCGATGGGTAGAGTAACTCAAAATACATCTTTGCCAGAGAGAGCTGCTCTCCATCTGTGCAGGGCACTTAATTTCTCTTGCTGCATGCTCTGTGTGTGAAATAGGGTCGCAAAGACAACATCCCCTTGCTTTTGACCTCCTTTACCTGGACTGAACAGTTCCTGCTCTAGGAACTGTTTCTTGATTTGTACTTCAGTACAAAACAAACAAACAAAAATAAAACAAAAGGATGAGGAGAGGCTCTGAGAAGGTACTACCTTTTTCCAACCATGTTCCCTTATTCAGTCTCAGATGTGATCAGTGCCTTCTCAGCTATATGAAAAGTTTGGTTGACAGCTTGTAGGGTCAGGAGGTTTAGCTGACCAAGACCTTTGTCATGGTGGTAGGGGAAACAACACAGAAGTAATATTTTAAGAGGCCAAGGTTTTGAGTTCAGTTTTCTTGACACTGGACTGCAGGGGCTTTCCACTCCCAGACCTCCTTGTAAGACAGAGGATGGTTAGAGCTTTCTGCAGTAAACTTTTTATCTTGCCACTATCAAACTAGGTCAAGCTGACTTCAGCACATCTCTGCAGTTTTCCATTCCCCTGTTCTTCAAAGACTTAAAGTCCTTTCTGTGCTTTGACAAAAGAAACTGCGTCCACTTCAGTAAAAATAAATGACAATTGT